TTGAAGATGTAATTAATGTTTATCAAGTTTTACTTGATGCTGATCCAAATATTCATCGACGATTAATTGGAATGGGTGATTCAACAGGTGGAATGCTTTGGATTTATCTTTTACAATGGATTATATCTAATAATAAACCTATTCCACAAGGTGTTGTTTTACATTCTCCATGGCCAAATCTTGAATATTTGGATAGAATTGCTAGATTCCATACGGATGGTTATTTATCATTAAAACTTGCATATAGTTTAAGACAATTAGTAATTGGTAAAGATACATATTGGTTTGAAGTGACTGATGAAGAACTAAGTAAAATAAGTCCAAAAAATAATTCATTTGAAGGATTTCCACCAGTTTATATAACAGCTGGTACAAATGAATTAGCAATTGATGCAATTCGTGATATGACTGAGATAATGAGATTATCAGGTGTAAAAGTAATATTAGATGAAGGTGAAGGATTAATGCATACATATGCTTTATTTCATCTTTGGTCACCACAAGGTAAATATACTCAAGAAAAAATTCGTCAATGGACTCGAGAACAATTGTTAGTTGGACTACAATCAACATCGAAAACGAATAGCATCATAACAGGTGAAATATGTATTTAAGATTTGGGATGAAGATATTTTGATGCGAAGTTTATTTGAATTGTATATTTTGGTTTGGAGATTATATTTGGGACCTAAATTCGTTTTTCGATTGGCTTTGTACAAATGTGTAAATAGTTTTGTACTTTGTGTCGTATATGTGCCGGACAATGTTGTGATTCAGGAAAATCGAAAGAGAGTTGTTATCAAAGTCACAAAATAAAACCAATCGAAATAGATTAGAATAAAAATAACTTATCTTGTATATTTATTCTTTTTATACGTATATGAAAATAAAGTCTATCTGAATTTAGAAATTTGTAGAGTACACGATTGCTATCAACTGAAATATAATGTATTTTGTCAAGACTGGTACATAAGAAAGAATCATGAAGCTTGTATTCACATTTATTACTATTTGAATTTCATGAATTCATAGTCATCACTATTGGGATCTATTTTCTCTTATGGAATGTTAGTCACGAAAACAATAAGATGCATGTATTTTCGGAAGCGATTAAATAACGGATGGGCCAGAATAAATGGTGGTCTCAGTATTTGGGCGCCATCTCCTCTATTTTTGATGACTCATATCTCGTTTTTCCCCCCAAAAGATGCGGTATAAAATTCTCTACAAAACAGTCTATTACATTTTGTACTCAATCGTATTGATACTATTTTATATCATGAAAAGTAAAGACTTGCAGAAAGTTGTACTTTCCAAGTACGAAAATGGTAATCACCCAAAGAAAATCTTACGAGATTTGAACGGTGTCCTGAGTTTACGCATAATTGAACAGTGGTGCAAATTGATTTGTGATAGTGGCTCTATCGATCTAGCTAGCCCACCTGGCTGTCCACGAACAATCCGAGCTAAAGCAACCATTCAAAAAATCAAAAGAAAAATGAAAGAGCCAAAATCACCATCTGCTCGACAACTGCCCAGTGAATTGGGCATTTCTCGAATCAGTGTTCGAAGAGTGCTCAAGGAGGATTTAAAACTTCGGTCCTATAAAAAAACAATTCAACCGTTGCTCACAGACCAACATAAGGAGAAAAGAAAAAGATTTGCAAACTCGGCACGAAAATATTTTCCGAAGGAGAACACGATGAGAATTCTATTTTCTGACGAAAAAATGTTCGACATAGACGGAGTCTATAATTCTCAGAATGAACAAATCTGGGCGGTAGATCGTGAAGAAGCTGATGCTAAAGGTGGCATTAAGCAAAAACGAAAATTTCCGCAAAAAGTAATGATTTGGCTTGCAGTCTGTTCTAAGGGGGTGTCTCCTAGGGTCATCTTTGAGGATGACACAGTCGATCATGATCGATATATTCGTGAAGTTCTTCCAGTAGTCCTCCATTATGGTAACCAGATGTTCGGAAACAACTGGACTTTTCAACAAGATGGCGCAAAGCCACATATTCATGAAAAAACGCAAGCATGGTGTACCAAAAATTTTCTTGCAATTATTGACAAGGACCATTGGCCTCCAAACAGTACAGATTTAAACCCATTGGACTACTGCATTTGGAACGAATTGGCTTTGCTGATCAATTGAAGAAAAGTGACATAAAAAAAAAACTCATTGATGAACTGAAACGCTCTGTAAAAGAGATTCGTCAAGATATCGTGTGGAAAAGTTGCTCTACTTGGATGAATCGATTGTTTCGTATGTCGCAAAACAACGGAGAATTTTTGCGTTAATAAAAATATATAGATTTGAAGACAATTTCATGACAAATCTTTTGAAAAAAAAATTAGATCTGACACATGAAAAATAAGAGAGATATAAGCAAAATACTGAGACCGCCATTTATTCTGGCCCACCCGTTAATATTTAACAGGTTCTGATTGTGTAAATGCATCAATGATGCCGCTTTTGGTTTTACTCAAGACTTTAACCGAAGACAATCATATTTGTATTTGTCTCTCAGATCTTGACATCGTGCAGTCCTTAGTAGGAGATTCGCCTATATATCGATGGAACTTACATAGGACTGTTCATCGGTTAAGTTTTTTCTGGCTTTTCGCAGCTCAAACGAGACGTCATATCGTGAAAGGTATAAATTCAACAAGGAAGAAAAATGATTGATAGTAGCCTATCTCTTTATGATTTTTACTGTATACCTAGACTTATATATCTGCTATTGAAATTCTTGAAATCTATTCAACGAATATTTTGGAAGCGAATTATTTTTTTAAACTTGAAACAATTGAAGCTAGAACTATTATATGTAGAACATGTCGAATAAATTACTTTTTTATTTATCGTAAGGTGCGGGTAATTCAAAATTACAGCAGTTTTTTGTTTTAGCTTAAACATATATTTCTAGATTCAGTTTTTCACGCTGATCACGAATATGTCCTTAGTTTTCGTTTTTGATAAAGTTTTTACGGAGAAAACCCCAAAATACTGGCAGGATGCCACAATCTTCAAAAAC